TGCTGTCATGTTGCCATCAAGTTGCCGTCAACATGCTGTTAGACGCGGATAGCAAACGGATGAAAATAACTGCCATCATGTTGCTATCATACGTACATTCGTTGCGTATAACAAAAGGATGTCATCAAGATGCTATCAACTTGTTATAACCAAAACTAGAATTCACATGAGGGCAAGATTTCACACATTTAGTGAGGAAGCACCTTGTCTCTAGTTTGTCGAAATCTATTGCTGCAACGGTTGACAGCAACATCATAGCATCTTGATTTCATTTGGCTATCTGGGATATAAATGCTCGTATATTTACACATATATTTTGCATATCTGACAGGAAAATGAGTGAAAGGCGTATCTCAGCCGTGTCTTCTTGCCTCTGACGCATATTACACGCTTGAAGCGGTTCCGCCACTAGAAATTGCGTCTCTGTATAATATAGTTAATTACTTATTGAATAAATACGGGGATATAGACGCGGGGATTAATTCGTTATCTGATAATCGTGTACCTTGGCATTAAGCGTCGTCAGATCGACCTGCCTTTCCCTTGAAACGCAACAAACGTCACCGTATCGACATGTGTATGTGATGTCTTCTTCTCCGGCACAGGACAGGATATCCACTCGCAAGTCCTTGAGGGACATATCAGCGCGTTTAAAGATCATATCGATTCAATTGCGCGAGAGGTATAATGCACGAAACGCGATAATTCCTCTCTGTTTATCAAACGTAAAATTGAACGTAAAGTTATATAAAAGTTTTGAGATTATCATAATCGCGCCTTGCTTCCTGAAGGCGCGATTGTACGGCGCGATTGTGAAAAAACTGATAACGGTCTGTCGTGGAAACGGTAATTTGTTTACTGTAAAAAAAAACATTATAAAAGGCTTGGAAAGGAAAATTTTATGAGGAGCGTAAGACATAATTGTTCAATATATGCTTTAAATACCAGGGTGCAGCCTTGCGCGGCTGCGTTCATTAAAAAGCAATTAGGCAGATATCCGGTCGTACATACAGGAGAGAGAATAATTCCTAATCATATTGATTCGCGCAGTGAAATTCGCCATTATCGAGCGTATATCCCGTAATTATATAAAAATCAAGATTATCCTAAAAGAGTCGGACGTCGAGATCGTCTTACGCGCGTAACGGTGTTGCGTAACACCGTAATCAAATCGCTACCACATCGGAGATATCCGTCGGAACTAGACACATTTATATATATATATATATATATATATATATAATGTGTATGTGTGTGTATAATATGGTGAACAAAATAGCGAAATAGATGAAGTTGACTGAAAAATCACGCTGCGGATATATGTATATGTAACGTGGCGTGTAACGTCTACATTTTCACACTCGAGAAGTGTGTGGTGGCAATTTGCGGTAAAGGATATACTTCGGCGGCGATTGCGTTGTTAACGCCGACGTTAAGCATTTTTCCAGTTACATAAATTTCAATTAACACCCTCTCTCAGGCGCTACGATACGCCGCCGGGCGAGCGATCATCGCTGCAGCGGTCGAACTGTAAACTGTTAGACGCGATCGATCGCAGCGTTGAGTGTAGCACACATCGCACAACACAATGCACGAATAACAAGTAGAAGAATGCAGAACGTCAGTTAACGTTCACGCGAGATCGGGGTAATTTCACGTGGTTGCGAGAAATCGCATCGTGTGTACCAATCATAATATTATAAATATATACGAGGTTTTCACGTTTTTCTATATTTTGCAAATAAGAATTTTTTTAAAATCTTGATGATAAATCAGAAAAAAATATTTAGAATTTAATTACATCCCAAATGTCATCAGCGCAATGAATGAGACGCGATGGGAAATCTCTATAGAGAGAGAAAAGACTTGTTTCGTTATCGTACGTATGTTAAATTTACGTGTACGCGATAATTTGCGTAAAATGGGAAGCGAGGCGCGCGTTCTCGCTCGGGATTGCTATAGGATTACGAGTAAGCAATTTCTCAATGGCCCGTTGATGTTCATACGCACGCACGCGCAGGCACGTATATGCACGCACTCACGGCAATGGCGAAAAGTTGCGCAAAATCATACCTTCCATTACTCTAAATGATTGAAAATTACCTTCTTCATCGCGATTCTCTCCATTTCGAGCGAAAGATATCTAGCGCGGATTAATCAGGAAGCACATTAACGTCGAGCGCGCAAAATAAATAATAAGAGAGTCTAATGATAATTAAACAGGTATATCAACCGTTCTATTTTGAAAGCGGCCGAGCAAAAATAATATATGTCGCTCGATTATGTTTTATTTCACAATTTATATCCCGTGTTGAATGAAGTTTAAAATATTACAAAATTATATTGCGTTTCGTTCGAATGATCGTTTTGTGCGAAACGCGAGTACGTATAGCTCTCAGAAATATTATTAATTGTTGCATATCGCAATTTCGCACAAGTCACCATTTCCGACATCTCCAATATCCCGATTTCACTAAACGCGATCGTTATTATCATTATATACTATTTTATCCTTGATGGAGTATACAAACAAGAGACGAGCTCATTTCCTACTTTGATCTCTCCGTCGGGAGAACTTTGTTTATTACGCTCGGCCGGTATGACTTCAGGTACATACATTATGGTACTTTACTTTTAGCACGTAATCGCGGGAGCCCGAATTCGCGCCTGCGGCTATACGTCCCTCGAGCGTCATACGCTCCTTCGCAAAGCCTCAACACCGTTACGTTCACTGACCGAGAACCGCGCACTGTCTCGCCGTCGTCGATTACGAAAGTCATGCTATTTTACAGCTTCTCCTTCTGTTTCCTTACCTCCACGCCGCCGTGTTGTGTCATGTACATCCGTGCGATACAACACCCGTCGGATCTAGTTTCGTCGATAAAGATCGTGTCTCATTAAAGAGATCCGCATCTCTCGTCAAAAAAAAAAAAAGAAAAAAATTAATCGAACTGATAACAGATTTTCGACACGCGCATAAAGAATCCGTAAAAATTCTGATCTGTCGAAAAGAAAATTTGAGCTTTATCTTTTTCCTTAGCGAATATCGGTTTGAAAATTTCTAGAAATTCTCTGATGGACATTTAATGGGAAATTATAATATCTGCGTCTCTTTGAAATATAATAATTACTGCAGCCATTTACACAATATCGACCTTGGCATCTAGACCTTTCCCTTTTCAATGAAGCGAAGACGTGCGGCGCGTGCAGCTCTCGCAGCTTTTTCTTTTCTCTCTCCACACCTCTCGTCCCTTCTCGTCGAAAATTTGACGCGCGCGTCTCACGTGAATTAACGCAATCGCCAATCCCTACATACAATCGTTACGCTTCACTCGCGGACTCGCGCGCTGGCAGACATTCGGCGCGTTACGCCTCGCGCGATTATGTATCCGACTGCAGTGTGAGAAATGTCGGAAGAGGAAACACGCGCGGTGTAAAAAAAAAGTTTCACCGCTGCACACGTACATACATACATACATACATACGAGCGCGCGCATTGCATTCCGTTACCGAGAGGCGCAGTCGATTGCATTGTAGAAAGCACGTGCGTCGCGAGGAATCGCGCGCGCGTCCGCTTTCAATCGCGCCGGGCCGATGACGGCCGAGCTGAATGAATTTACGGCTGGATCCACTCTATTACAGGACTCTGTTAAGGGCTGTCTACAATGAAAGTAGTAAGTCGTAAGCCGTAAGAAATTAACCAATCGCAGTCGAATATAAGAAGAATACTTGACTATGATTAGTCAATTTCTTACGGCTTACGACTTGCTACTCTCATTGTAGATAGACCTTTACATTACCGCGCTCGTTACGACGTTTCGACGACGACGACGACGGCGGCGATGACGCCGCGCCGGTATGCGCACTCTCACTCTCGTTTCGGGGCTTTTGTTCTCCACGGAGCGGAGCTCGACTTCATGCTCCGCCGGCGCGGTGCACCGGATCGAAGATAAACGCGCTCTCGGACGGAGCGCGGTTGCATCGGTGCATGACCGGTCAAGGGATATTGCCTTAGATGCCTCGGCTCCTTCGCGGCTGAATGAAAATATTATTACCTCCGCAGATCGCACGCTTTGCCTCTCGAGCGGCCAATTAGGAGCGTTAAAGGCCGATACAGCAGGAGAGGAGAGTGTTAACGTCGTCGTCGTGATTGTCTCATCTCGTCGTCATCTCGTCTCGAGTGAACAATCATCTTAATCTGTATATAATCATGTTACAGCAACAAAACAAAAAAAAACGGTGACAGTTACCGTTATATCTTCAAGAGGTATAAGGAGATGTATGATTATCGCATAATTCATGTAATCACGGTAATACGCGTAAATTAAATGATCATGCGTTTCTGCGGTTAGTTATTGTTGGTTGACTGCAGTGCGGTTGTTAGAGAGAAACGTTCTCAAATAAAATACGTTCTCCTTGGAATTAACGCGCGCGACGATTTGATAAAGTCCTTTCCCCCCCAGCTCGTCGATATACCGATACATATTATTCACTGTACCGTATATAAAAGAACATTTTATACGAGCTCGCGATTTCAATTAGATCCGTCAAAGTGAACCGTGTCTCATACGGTGAAGCCTCTGATCGGCGTTTGCGGCGAGGAGGCCGATTTTTCGCCGAGTCACCCCTTCCTCCCCCCCCCCCCTCGTGATTGATGAAACAACGGCGTTACTGTTCCAGAGATGAGTTGCAACTGTCCGTTGACCACGTCCGCAGGACCCACTTTGGCCTCGACGTGCGGCGGCGCGTCCTTCATGCTCTTCATGGGGCTGCTCGAAGTCTTCTTGCGTAGCCAGTGCGACCTCGAGGACCCGTGTAACAGGCCAGCGCCGCCGAGCAGCGTCAACACGAGGTAAAGTCTCAATACAAAACTCGCCGCCGTTCCTCGGATCACGAGGTGATCGTTAAATTCGAATATAATATATACATATATGGGTCACGGGTAAACGAGAGGGAGACCTCGATCGAGTCCGCCTTTGACGCCGATTCCTTTCGATATGGATTACGCAACGGCGGCAATCAACCTCGTTGAGGAGTCGCTATATCTGCGCGCGTATACATATACTTAAATTCGCGACGTACATGCGCGCGCGGTGCGCACATCGATCACTCGCGCGACAATCGACTCTCGCGCGCATTAAACGACGCATTAAAATGACAACGAGGAAAATGAAAAGGACTCGGAAATTAGGAGCGATATATCTCTCCCGAGAGAGAGAGAGAGAGAGGTCACGCTGAAAAGCGTTCGTAAATCTCGCTGAGTCACGAGCGTCAGTCCGCTGGACATGTCAATTTGTGCCGCGGGCTATCGCGGCTATCAGCAATTAGCCGGATAACCGGAACGTGAGCCTATACTAGGAAACTCGCGAGCTCGCGAGTTTCCTCGTTTTCGCATCGCTCGATCGAGGTCGGAAGATATACGGATGGCGAGGACGAGCCTATATATATATTGCCATCCCGAGCGATTTCCTTATCTCGCATTGTGCGCGCGCGCTGGATGTAACAACACGTCGCCGCGCTCCTTCTTTTTCCTCTCCCCCCCCCCCCCCCCCGTGTGAGATCTTCCTCGGCACTTTATCGACGGGAGAGATTTCTTCCGCGAACAGAACAGGCGCATCGCATCCGCGGGAAGTGTTCCGCGACGAATCCTAAATACACGGGCCGACCCCCTTCTTCCTCTCCTCTCCCCCCCCCCCCGCGGTATATACGATTGTGTCGCGGGCCACACGTTACTCACGTAATATATCGCCGGAGAGTGTACCGCCTTATTACCGGCACCTCTTCTCATTTCTCTCTTTCGTTTCTCGGAAAAACACGAGCATCCACGCACGCGAGATCGTTGTATACGCGCGTACGTAATACCGCGGGCCATTGTTTTCGATGCATCTCCTCGTTGCGTCACATCTGGTCGCCTCATCGACGCGCACTTGCGCTGGTGCCACGCACCGACGCGCGAAAGAAGCGATGAGCTCTTACGAGGGGAAGAAGCTACGAAGACGCACCGAATCACGTGGAAAAAAACTAGATATATATATATATAAAATTTTTTTTTAAATACCCCCAAAAAGTTAGCTGTGAATCTCAATATAATCTTGGTAAAATTTCATCGAAATCAATTAATATCTTCAGGTTGCCCCTTGACTTTGAAATTAGTAAGTTTATGTATTTCTTATAAATTTTTAAAGCAACTGTGTGTTTTCTTTACACCAATCGATTTATCTCATTCTGTGCCTAAAATTATTAGGTATCATTATTAAGAAATCAATAATTAACGAGATATTTCATATTATATATCAAAAATATGATAAAGTATAAAATATCTCGTAAAATATTGATTTTTTCGATAACTTTACCTTAATACTTTTATATGCAGAATAATTAGAGGAATTGTATTATGTAAGATAAATATGTAATTCCGTTTAAAAAAATCGATATGATCTTGATGATCTGATCTTAACGACGCCACTTAAAATAAAATTAATGATATTTTCTTATGTACAGTCGTGGACACATCGGTTGCGACACTTCTTTTATAACTTTTTAATATATATTTAATATACATAATATATATTTTATAGATAACTAATATCTTGCAAATGCGAATGTACTATCTTTACGATGTACTATCTTTAGTCTAAAGACAGTATATAACATCAATCGTGGTCCGCATTTGCAAAATATTAGTACGTTTTGAAACCTATAAAAAAGAGAGTGTCGCAACCAATGTGTCCATGATTATATCTCCCCGAACCGTACAATTTGTATTTGAAATCCATATCTATCATATTTTTCGAGAAATCTTAATGTATTATTTAAGAATATATTTCATATCCGTTATTTTGAAATGTATACTTCTGATCTTGAATTCGTGTTCAGCGACCAGAAAACAACAGATAATACTAAATTGTATTGCAATTCAAAGATTTTTTTCGAATTTTGACACATCTTTGAAGAAATGCATAAACTTACTAACTGCAAGGTCGAAGGGCAACCTGAAGATATTAATCGATTTTGATAAAATTTTATCATATTGAGGTCTATAGCTAACTTTTGGGGGGTATTACTAATCAATTTAAAAAAAAAATTTTTTCGGCCCACCCTAATAAATATAAACGTAAAAAAATTATGTAAAACGTGAGACAAAATTATTTATTTTAACCTATTTAACTTTTAAGTCTATTTATCTAATTTATTTATTTGGTTCCTAAAAATGATGTTTCACAGAACCTTTTCTCCGCTTAGAATTTTCGGAATTGTTTTCTTTTACGTCTTAATATAATCTTAATATTCAGATGTAAGTTTAAGAGAAAATTTCTGTTAAACGATATACTTTCGTCGTTTTATACATATATATGCTCGTCCTGTCCTATCATGCGCGAAGGACGCAAAGTGATCTGCGAAACCGCGACCGTCAAAGGAAAAAAAGAGGGAAAAAGGAAAAGAACAGAGCGTGTGCCTCGAAGTTTATTACGTGTCATACGGGAACCCGTTTAGCGAAGATGGAAACAGGTTTGATAGAGCTTTATACGTTTCTCGACCTGTCTTTACATATACGCCGCCGGCAATTAGACAAGCCTGAGTCACTTGGCATATTTATTGCAGTAAATTTACATAAGCATGAGAAACATTGTTTATTTATATATGCACTCTCTCGCGGAGACGTTCGTTGACGATTTTCTTAATCGTTGGATTTTGATGGAGTGATCACTGATTGGGAGTGATAGAGCAGCGATATATCTATAAGACGAACTGATGTAAGGCGCGTATTGCACTTGCGTCACACGTGTCTCTCACGATACGTTTGGCGCTCGCATATTAAAGAGGACATTAATAAAGTGAATTAAGATAAGACGTAATAAGAGATCGGTATCTTTCGCGAGAGACATAAATGATATTCGTTCGCTGACGATTAAAAAGCAATTAATTCTAAAATAAAGTAGCTTACCTTCTACTAAAAAAATATCGATAAATAAAATATCATTAACTATTCGTATTCCTTAAATTCCACTTTTAACCTTTAAACCATCACGCCCAAAAAGAATCACACTAACCACAATGTCGGTCTGACAGACCGCTATTATGCTTCTGCTAATTTTATAAGTTAATTACAATAAAAATGTTTTCTGAATACTTGTTGATGGGGAAAAGGAAAACTATGTTTAAATGTGAGGGTTAACAAAAAAATCTCATATACAATAAAAATAAAATATATTTAACCTTTAAACCACTATATATATCGGTCTTACAAACTGCCATTAAAACGTTACTTGTCAACAATTTTCTTATTTATCACTATTTAAATATATTTTATTTTTATTGTATATGAGATCGGAAGAGCACACG